GCCCCCAACCCCCGGCATTTGCCCCTGACCAGAGTCAAACCTGGGACCCTCAGTCCACAGGCCAAGGCTAGGGCTATTATTATTTTTTTTTTAATTGATTCCAGAGAAGAAGGGAGGAGAGAGAAACATCAATGATGAGAATCATTGGCTGCCTCCGGCATCTCTCCCCCCCAGCCCCCCCACTGGGGATCAAGTCCGCAAACCCGGCATGTGCCCTTGACCGGAATTGAACCCAGAACCCTTCAGTCCACAGGCCAACACTTTATCCATTGAGCCAAACTGGCTAGGGTGCCTTGTGGTTTTAACCCAGCAGCTAGCTGTGTTATGGTGTGGCTTTCTCCCTGTTTTCTCAAATCCATGCTGTTAATGGACGGTCTCATCTCATATTGTGCAGTAGTGTAGCCTAGAACAGAAATGAGTTTTAGTGGTGGACTGAATTGTCATGTTAATAGGACCAGTATAATAGGTTTGTTCCTTTGTACCTGTCCCAGGTTAAAGCATTTTCTAGGATTTAGGTGAATTAATTAGGTTTTGGTTCTTGTTAAACCTATTCATTGTCTTATGTCTTCCAACTCTGGGCTTATGACTTTTCAGCTGTAAAATTGAACTAGACTGTATTTTTTTTCTGTTTCTGTGAAGTTTAGCTATATCATCAGATACATTTTAAGCTTCATAATTGTAGTGCTCTTTGAAAATATGTTAGCACTTAATAGTCATGTGACTATAGTATATGTAAGGTTTGTACTTGGTAAGGTGCTACATATTTCTAAAAACAGAGTTTAGCACACAAGTAGTGCCTAGAATATAACAATAATTCTTTTCTTATGTAATTTCATAAGAAAAACAGATTTCTGATAATCCTTAGAATTCAATTAACTAGAACATTTAATCTTTAGTCATGATACATAACTCATGTCAGAATCCATCTCCCTCCCTCCATTTTTCTCTTTTTTCCTTATTTCTTCTCTATCCTTTGGGTTTCTATTGTACAATCCAACCCTCCCCCCCCTCTTTTTTTTTTTTTTTTTTGCTTAGAGAATGAAAGAATAATACTTTAAAGGTATTCTTCATGAATTTTGCTTTTTAATCTACATTTATTCATCATTTTACCCTTAATATCTAGCTGATTGTCTTGTATAGCAGATCCTCCTAAATGTTGCTTGAATGAATGTATTTGCTGTTATTTTTTCCAGTATTGAATTAACTCAAAGTAATTTTAAAATTTTTGTTTTTTTAAGAAAGGTGACTCTTGTGATGGTGGGACTTGATAATGCTGGTAAAACGGCAACGGCAAAAGGAATCCAAGGAGGTAAGCAGAAAATATTTATTACTAAATGATTCCAATTTATTTATCTATTTACATTCTCTATTACATATTCCTTGAGTATAGGTAGCTGCACTCCGTTATTTTATATTCTCACTGTACTGTGGCTAACGTGGTGAATAGACTCCGCCTTCATAATACCAGCCTGTTTCCATGTTCATATTTGAATAAATGCAGAGATGCAGGGGCTCCTTGAGGTCTTTTATCAACTAATAGGGATTACATTGGTCTTCTAGCCCAGTGATGGCGAACCTTTTGAGCTCGGCGTGTCAGCATTTTGAAAAACCCTAACTTAACTCTGGTGCCGTGTCACATATAGAAATTTTTTGATATTTGCAACCATAGTAAAACAAAGATTTATATTTTGATATTTATTTTATATACTTAAATGCCATTTAACAAAGAAAAATCAACCAAAAAAATGAGTTCATGTGTCACCTCTGACATGCATGTCTTAGGTTCGCCATCACTGTTCTAGCCCATAGGAAGGAAAAGTAAAAAAGCTATATGCCCCTGTTTTTAAGGATACCCATTTTCTACTTATACTTTCTTGGCCAGAATTTAGTCACAAGGCTACACTAAAGGAAAGGGAGGTGGAAATATAATTAGCCAGCACAACTGTCTGCATCTTTTGATGTTTTCAATAGGATATGTAATTTTTAGAATTATTTTAAAGACTAGGGGCCCATTGCACGAATTCGTGCACCTTGAAAGGAACTGTGGGCTGCCAGGCTGCGGTGGGCACAGGGGTGGGTCTTGACCCATTCTCTGCACCCTCGCCTGGCCCCTCCTGCCGTGGCCTCTGGTCCCCTGTCAGCCGGCAGCCCTACTCCTGCTGCTGCCGCTCCCATGTGCTGACTGCGCCGGCTCCACTTGCACCCACTGATGGCGCAGAGTGATTGGGGTCAGTGCCAGCAGTGGGTGCGAGCGGGGCTGGTCCTGTCAGTAGGTGCGAATGGCGGCTGCTGCCCCAGTTGTCCCTCAGGAGCAGGGGGAGGTAGAGAAGTCCTGAGGGGCATTTGGGGCTGGCAGCCGCCATTCGCACCTGCTGACAGAGCTGAGCGATTGGGGCCGGCGCCAGGAACGGGTACGAGCGGCGGCTCTGGCACTGGCAGAGGGTGCAAGCAGGGCTGGCACCAGCAGCAGGTGCGGGCACCGGGCCGAACCACAGTGCGCGGGAGCAAAGAATATTTAGTAACAGTCAGAGACTCTCCCTGATGACAGCGACCGGTGCCCTGCCTTGGTCTGACGCCCCCGCTCACCTGATCCACCATCCCACCACGGCCAACGCCTGCCATGTTCCGCACTCTGCCGTCTGCTGCTGATGCTCACCGTGTTCTGTACACGCTCCTCCTGGTGGTCAGCACACATCATAGCAACCGGTTGTTAGGTCTATTTGCATATTAGGGTTTTATATATATAGATAGGACCTCTGTATTATTAAAGGGTTTTATGCCATTTATATTATAACTTATTGGTTGTATTTATCTAGTCTTAATTCAGTGCTTTGTACTACAATCTATACATATAAAAGGCTAATATGCAAAGTGTCGCCTCGGGAGCTCGACCAGGAGTTCGATTGCTCGCTATGAGATGTGCTGACCAACAGGGGTTGGCGCTCAACATGGTGGGAGACCAGCAGCAGCGGCAGCAGGGCGCTGAGGGAGTGGGGGAAGGAGGAGGCGGGGAGGCAAGGAGGTGGGGAACCTGATCGGCCCTGATCACCATCCAGGCCTAGGGACTCTACCCATGCATGGATTTCATGCACTGGGCCTCTAGTATAGAAATAATTGTGCTAGGGAGTTTTTTGTGTACCTAGGAGATACAGCATCAGCCAGGCGTCTGAAGGGAATGAAGTGGGAGAAAACCTAACATATATTTATTTCTGAAAATGGATGTTTCAAGAAGATACCATGTATACAGACAGGGAACTTTTATTTATGCATGTTTATAAAAGAAAATTAACAGTTTGCAAAATTTGCTGTTGGAGAAAAATACTTTGTGACCCCAAATTTTACTATGTGACATTAGATGTAAGTGGCATATTATTGTCTGTGGATTCTTCTAAAGCAGCGGTTCTCAACCTGTGGGTCATAACCCCTTTGGGGGTCGAATGACCCTTTCACAGGGGTCCCCTAAGACCATCGGAAAACACATATATAATTACATGTTGTTTTTGTGATTAATCACTATGCTTTAATTATGTTCAATTTGTAACAATGAAATTGGGGTTTACCACAGCATGAGGAACTGTATTAAAAGGTCACGGCATTAGGAAGGTTGAGAACCACTGCTCTAAAGCTAGAAAAGGCAAGGAAATGGATCCTTCCAAAAACCTCTTAGAAAGGAACACAGCCCTTCCAATATCTTGATTTTAGCCCTGTGAGATTGGTGTCAGACTTTGGACCACCCAAGCTATACGGTAAATTTGCATTGTGTTAAGGCAC